CTCCAGGCTCTGAGCTGTCCGCACAGAGCCTGATGTGGGGCTGGAACCCACAGACTGCGAGATGAAGACCTGGGCCAAAGTCGGACGCTTAACCGACTGAACCACCCAGGGACCCCAGTTTTGTTTGTTTTTCAGAAATAGGCCAGTCTCATTAATTATGAGTAAGAGTCTTACAGGATACAGTTCTTCTGAAAGGCAATTTAGTATCTTAAGAGCCTGGAAATATTAAGCTAGTACTTTTAGTCCTAGATATTCTGAGAAAATAATCAGAGATGGAAGTAAATATTCTCTATGCAAATGTATTTATTGTCTCATGATTAAGAAATCAGAAACAATAGGAGAGGAGAGTAGTTAAATGAATTTTCGTGACTCTGTACAATGGAGTACTGCCATTATAATTCGTGTTTGTGAAGACCAAAATGTAAGAAGGTGGTTATGATGTAAAGCTAAGTGAAAAGGTAAGTATGTCGATACTTCCTATAAGAGGAGACACGCACACGCACTCACACACGGTTTATGTAAATATGGAGGTATAAGTCAGTCATTGGAGAAAACTCACAGTAGTGTGGACAGTGGTTGCCTCTTGCTAACTGAAATTGTAGATGCTTGTAGTTCTCTCTGTACTTTGCTGTATCTTTGAATTTTCATCAGTAGGCATTTTTTAATCATGTGAAAACACCCTGGAATATACTATTTTTAAGTTTTTAAAACATTTATTTATTTATTTTGAGAGAGTGTGAGCAGGGGAGGGGCAGAGAGAGAGGAGAGAGAGAACCCCAAGCAGGCTCCACACTGTCAGCACAGAGCCCGACATAGGGCTTAATCCCACGAAGCATGAGATCATGACCTGAGCTGAAACCAAGGATTGGACACTTAACCGACTGAGCCACCTAGGTGCCCCTGCACTCAATTGAGGGGCGCCTGGGTGGCTCAGTTGGTTGAGCATCTGACTTCAGCTCAGGTCATGATCTCACGGTTTGTGAGTTCGAGCCCCGCGTCGGGCTCTGTGCTGATGGCTCAGAACCTGGAGCCAGCTTCGGATTCTGTGGCTCCTTCTCTCTCTGTCTCTCCCCGACTTGTGCTCTGTCTCTATCAAAAATAAATAAATGTAATAAAAAAAAAAATTTTTTTTAAATAAAAAACGGTCACTTGATCAGAGAAAATGTCTTTAAAGATATCCTGTGTCCAAGGAAATACAGTAACATTTATGGGGACCGGGAAGGACAGACCTGTTTGAATCTAAGTCCTTAATAAAGCTTAAACTTTTCCTTTTAACCCTTTTAATGGGAGAATGCGTGTTTAAAGGCCCCCTGACCCCTCTCTCGCCCCTGCCGCTTTAGCCCCCAGGCAGTGCCGGATCTGCGGGGGGCTCGCCATGTACGAGTGTAGAGAGTGTTATGATGATCCCGACATCTCGGCCGGAAACATCAAGCAGTTTTGTAAAACCTGCAACACCCAAGTAAGTGTGACTTCACTCAATGGATGTTCTCTTCTGAAATCGGAGATTATATGAAGTTGGAAACATTTCAGGTTTTTGGAAAGTTTTCAGAGTCCTTATTAACTTGAATTCATAATCCAGTGGGATTGTTTACGTGTCTTCTGTTTACTTGGTGGGCCTTTTAAAAGTACTCGGTTGCCGTTTGTAGGGATGGATTCAGTTAGAGTAAGTGGAGCCCCTTCGCCGGCCATACGGAGTCTGGCCCATGAGCGACTTTCCCTTCCTGTTCCGTTTCAGGTCCACCTTCATCCCAAGAGACTGAACCATAAATACAACCCAGTGTCGCTTCCCAAAGATTTACCCGACTGGGACTGGAGGCACGGCTGCATCCCCTGCCAGAAGATGGAACTGTTTGCTGTCCTCTGCATAGAAACGAGCCACTATGTTGCTTTTGTGAAGTACGGGAAGGACGACTCTGCCTGGCTCTTCTTTGACAGCATGGCCGATCGAGATGGTACCTCAAATCCCTTTCTTCTCCCTGTGGCCCTTTTCTCCTTTGTGCTGGGATAGTTCGCGGTGGGTCGTCTGTGCTGAGCAGTAGAAGGGTGTGTGCGAAAAGCCTTCGAGAAGTATCTTGGGGACACAGGCTGACCGTCTCGAAATGCATAGACAGCATTACTAAGCTAAGGAATAATATCGTTGTGATATTTTGACACACAGGTGATTTTTGTAAAAAGAATCCTAGAATTCTCATTTTAGGGCTGAGAGGTTTCGGCTTTGTCTTCTTTTACTTTCGCGCTCCCCCCATTTTCTGTTCGATCCATGGTCACCGTTTATCGGGCGCCTATGCGCCGAGCTCTCTGGGAAGCACACTGAGTCTCCCACAAAATCCCTGCAAGATGGGGATCACTCCTCTTTCTCTGTTGTTGAGGCTGAAGCTAAGGTGCCTAAGGTCACATAGTTTGTATTTAACGCCGTCTTTCTGACCTCAGTGCTTATGTTTTTTATACTGAACTACGTTGTCTTCTAAATGACAAAGCAAAGACTAGAATAAATGTCTTCTTTGGAAAAATCGGCCTATTCTTCAGGTAACGTGTTTCTTCCCCAAATGGGGAGCATGCTACCCCTTCTAGGCCCTTCTCTGGGATGCGTAGGCATTATTTAACAGATGCGTTAACGAGCCCACGTACAGTACCAGGAGCTCTACTGTAACTGACAAGCATCCCGATGTGAGACGTTGGGAAAGGCCGTTGGGAGGGTAGGCCGGGAGAGGCTTTCGGGGGGGCGCCTAGCACCACACCCCCCGGCGTTCTCATTCACTCTAATGACGTGTGAAGCAAAAGGTTTAAAATTTTTGGAAGTGCAATAGTATTCATTTTGCTAGATCTGCTCTAAACTGGATGATCGCACGGTGAGACGTGTGGGGGTGCTTCTGTCTGGGAAGGGACACGGGATGCGAGGAGGTGGATGCGTGCTTACGTGTACGCGGCACTGTTCCCTAACTGAATACAGACAAGCCTGCAAAGCGGTTTAGAACTTAGCTCAGGATCTGCCTCCTTTTACCAGCTTTATTCTGTTGGCCCCAGAATCCTCTCCGAGCCCAAGAAATGAGAAAAACGTCAAGAGTTAAAAAGAGGCTTTAACGTTTAAAAATCAGGAGTGAAACCAGGTCCTTCTGATCTGGAAAGTTAGCTTCCCTAAATTTAGAATTGTAAAATCGCTTTGGTAGGTCAGGGCAGCAGAAGGTTTAGAACTTTACTGCCCTAAATAGAGCTCTTCCTCTTTTCCATAGGTGGTCAGAATGGCTTCAACATTCCTCAGGTTACCCCATGCCCGGAAGTAGGAGAGTACTTGAAAATGTCTCCGGAAGACCTACACTCCTTGGACTCCAGAAGAATCCAAGGCTGTGCGCGAAGACTTCTCTGTGATGCGTACATGTGCATGTACCAGAGTCCAACAATGAGTCTGTACAAATAAGTGGGGTCATCTGGGCAGGGGCGGAAACCGAATGCGAGGCTTTAGTGTTGCATTTTACCTGAGCTGGCAGTCTTGTTCAGCATCCATTGCCGGCAATGGATGCCTTTGTGGTGATGATCCTTCAGAAAAGGATTCCCGTGTTTAAAAAACAAATTGCTTTTGTGTTACTGAAGTATTTAATAAGAAGCCTTTTGCACTCTAGAAAGTATGTTTGTGTTGGTTTTTTAAGAAGTCTAAATGAACTTATTAATCCCTGAAGCTTTAAGTTAAGTGCATTGATCATATGATATTTTTGGAAGCATAAAATTTTAATTGTGACAGTTTAAAACCTCTTTTAGTCCATTGAGAATGTAAATAAATGTGTCTTCTTTATGGACCAAGGATATGAAATCATTTTTCCTTTTAGCTAACGGTTGCCTTGAGGAAGAAATATTTTGGTTTTATTAAGCGTCTGCTTTCAATCCAGTTATTAAAATCGTACTGAGTTGGATTTGTTAATTCTTTCCTGTATACTGCTGGTTTCTGCATGTCAGCAGTCTGCCGAGTTTCTGTGTTTCTGCAGTAGTGGTCAGAAAAATACTTAAATTCCATTCATGGTGTTGTTTTCTATTTGTTCTGCTTTTGAGATAGATCTAAGTGATCTTGTCATAAAACGTCTATTTTTGATGTAATTTTCCTGGGGATTAGACTGCACAGCAACTGAAGCTCTTCATTCATAGTTGTAACTGTCAGCTAAGAGGTTTTGGCATTCTTTGTTTTTTGGTTTTTTGTTTTGTTTTTTTTTTGGGGGGGGTGTTAAGGAACTCTATTTTATGGAACTGGGCACAAAAAATGCATTTTATTAAAGGATTGGGGTGATAAATATATTTCTACACAAATATATGGTCCATCAGAAAATAAATTTGAATATAGACTACTCATTAAAACCTCCCTGAAGAGATGTGTTGTCTGTGTAAACCTCTCCTGTTGTAAGACCGTCCAGAACTTCAGTGAGCTCAGCCAGTCTGCTCACCAAATGCAGTTTGATTGCGCAGGAGATAATGGCAGTTACGATATTTTATGGAAATGTTGGCAGCAGCTTTATCCTCCTTCTGATTACGTAGAAAATGGATGTTTTCTCAGCTAATGTCCACAGTGTATGTCTAGAGCCCAAGTGGATGTCGTAGACTAGAACCACAGATTATAAATGTTAGTGCTGTGGAATGTGCTATGGTCTGTGTTTTCTTCGAGTGTCGTTTTGTGGCGTTGTTGTCCTTCTGGAAAGACTTCCTAACCATGCAGAAAGACAGAAAAGTTGTCATGTGTATATAGCATATGACTTTATAAAACATTTAACGTCAAAACAAAGTGGAAAGCATCTTTATAAACCCTGCAATTACTTTTTTTTTTTTTAAGTCTCGTTTAGCTTTGGTTCTATCATTCCATTTTGCTAATATTCATTAGCTTTATAAATTGTAGTAAGGTACAAAAACTCATTTTGTAAGTTTTTTCATTTTTGAAATGAAAAAGTACATACATTTTGCATGCGGTTTTGCTAAATGCTTGGGTGGGGTGGGGAGGTGGCTACTGAATCAGGGGTTTGGGGGTGAGGAGCCCAGACTGTGGGGCTGGCTCTGCCCCTGCCCCCTCCCCCCTCGGGTACTAAGGGAAGGGCCCGGGGTGCACGATGTCTGAGGCTCTGATCTTCTGTAAGTCCAGTCACCCGTTAGTAAATAGGTGTTGAGTGAATAAATGCATGAATGAGCGTATCAATGTGATTTTTGAAAAGATTATTTGGAGGAATGACTAGGAATCTCTACCTAGATGAGATGAGATGAATTGAAGAGTTAAAAAAGAAGAGAAAGTTCCTTGTCCGTAAAAATTAAAATGCAAGTTCAAGAAGGTATGTCCTGCCCAGCCTCTTGTGGCGGAAGACTTGAAGAAGAGCCGTCCGGGGCTCCCCATCTCCCTCCACCCCCCCACCCCGCATGGAGGCTCTTTCCAGGGGGCAGGGCCACATCTGTCAGTTATCTCTAAGGACATTTCCTTCAGGTAGACCCGTACGTCTGTTTAGTGTTGCCTGGGGCAGGAGGCACTCGGGATGCCAGGGCCAGCCGCAGTGCTCCGTGTGGAGGGCTGGGCTCTCCCCCTGGTCCTGGACGGTCCCTCTGGGCGGCCCCTCCTTGTCCCTGCCCCAG